CAGCACATTCAGGCTTGTATTTCAATACAATTAAATTTTCTTTGAGAAAAAGTCACAATTACAAAATACAGTATAGCCCCACCCATTCAGCCTATAGCTTTTAGAAGGAGCCAGCCAATTAGAATAGGGCTGATTTACATACATCAGTCATAAAGGTACAGTTACAGAAACAGCCTGTTTGAGGAATAAAGAGGGTAAAACTTGGTCATACACGACAAAAGTATTGGGACACCTCCACATCACACCTACAGGAGCTTTTATGAATCCCATTCTAAATCCATAGTCATTAATATGGAGTTGGTCCCCCTTTGCAGCTCTAACAGCTTCCACTCTTCTGGGAATCTTTCTACAGGATGTTGGAGAGTCTGTGGGAATTTCTGTCCATTCATCCAGAAGAGCATCTGTGAGGTCAGACACTGATGTTGGATGAGAGGGTCTGGCTCACAATCTCCGTTCTAGTTCATCCCAAAGGTGCTCAATGGGGTTGAGGTCAGGGTTCTCTGAGGGCCACTGGAGTTCCTCCACACTAAACTCACCCAGTCAGGCCTTTATGGAGCTGCTTTGTCTCTGGGGCTCAGTCATGCTGGAACAGGAAAGGTTCTTCACCAAACTGTCCCACAAAGTTGGAAGCTACAATTGTCCAAAATGTCTTGGTGCTGAGTCATTAAGATTTCCCTTCACTGGAACTGAGGGTTCTAGACCATCCCCTGAAAAACAGCCCCATATCATCATCCCTCCTCCACCAAACTCTACCGCTGCACAGTGCAGTCAGGCAGGTAACGTTCTCCTGGCATTCGCCAAACCCAGACTCGTCCATCAGACTGACAGATAGAGAAGCTGATTCGTCACTACACAGAACACGTTTCACTGCTTCAGAGTCCAGTGGCGGCGCTTTACTCCACTCCATCCGAATGAAGCTCCTAACGTGCAGTTCTTGTGCTGACGTTGCTTCCAGACGCAGCTTGGATCTCTGCAGTGATGATTCAATAGAGGACAGACACTGTGCTCTTCAGCACTCGGTGGATCTACTCCAAGTTTGCGTGGTCTGTCGCTTCGTGGCTGAGCTGTTGTTGCTCCATTTCACAATAGTAGCTCTTTCAGTTGTCAGGAGCAGATTTAGCAGAGCAGAACTTTCTCAAACTGACTCGTGGCAGAGGAGGCATCCTATCACAGAGCCATGTTTAAAGTCACTGAGCTCTTCAGTTCGACCCTCTACTGCCAGTGTCTGTCTGTGGAGACTGAAAGGCTGTGATTAATTTTATACACCTGTTAGTAATGAGTGTGGCTGAAACACCTGAACTCAATAATTAGGAGGGTCCCAATACTTTTGTCTATACACTTGCCCAGCGACCGCCACCTGCCTTGGACTAGCTGCCCACCCTACACTGAAGTGGACTCCTAACTATTACTACCACTACTACTATTAATATTAGTAGTATAGTAATTGTGTAGGTAGTTTGACCAGAGGAGGATGGGTCCCCCCATGTGAGCCTTGGTTCCTCCCAAGGTTTAATGGATTTCTGTGAAGCTGCTTTGTGACATCATCAGTTGTAAAAAGCGCCATACAAATAAATTTGACTTGAAAATTTGTCTATATAGCGTATGAAGTTGTGTACCAGTTCAGAGACAATTCCAACTCTTATCAGTCACTTCACACAGAACCGAATCTGAAATTTAAGAGCTTTAATCAAATCATGAAGTTCATTTGTGATCGATTTTTCCTTTTTACATAAAAAAATAACTTTACATCAGCAGAACAAATCAGGATCTTTCAGTACCGTTCATACTACTTACACAGTATACTGGTACACGTGCTTAAAAACAGTTTGTGTAATACTATAATTACAGTTAAAATATATCTGGAACATCAGGAAGACACGATATACAGTTAGAACAATCTACAGTGTTATCATACAGTGGAGAACCCTGAGGGCCTCCGGACAGTGTGTCATAGAACAGTCAGTTCGAAAATTAAAATGCACCAAACTAAAAAACAACAGGTGTGCATCACTTTACAACTTTACCATTTTAGGTTCTAAAGGGTTCTGTTTGTCAGCCACCTCCATATTAACAGCTCATGTCAGAGTGAAGTGCACTCTTAGAAAAGAGGGTTCTTTGAGGGTTCTTTACTAAAGGGGTTGGTTCTATTTAAATATACTTAAACTGTGCTTTGCATTGTACAACGGTTCTGCAGAATGATGGAGAATGTGATCTAGCACCGGGTTCTGCTATTGTTACAAGCTTGACATTGTAAACAATAGCAAAAAAATATATATATATCTATAAAACTATTTATCTAAATTTAATAATCTATATAGAACCTTATTTTAAATAGGTTCTATATAGAACCATATACAACATTCTCCATCAGCATGAAATGGTTCCATTTATACTCTTTAAAAAATGGTTCCTCAAGGTTTTTTTTCATGGTGAAATGGTTCTTCAGATTGATGGAGAAATTGTTCTATGAAGAACCTTTTTGAAAATGGTTCTGAATAGCACCAAAAATGGTTCTGCTACGGTTATTATGTCAAGCTCATAACAACAGAAGAACCCTGCTATATAGAACCATATACAACACACTCTTCTTCAATCTGAAGAACCCTTTCACCATGAAAAAATAATCTTGAGGAACCATCTTTTTTAAGAGTATAAATAGAACCATTTCAGCATGCAAAGAACCATTTAAGCACACAAATGGTTCTACACAGAAATCGTGGTTCTAAATAGAACCATTCCCTTTATCTTCTTTAGTGTAGCACATTTAAGCTACAGATCCAGGAGAACAACCGTGCTGGAACACCTTCACTGCAGAACCATGTTGGCAAGTTAAACCATCTTAAATGTGATTAATGTATCTAATGTTTCTCATTATGACGTTTAATAACACACTTCAACTCATTTCTACACATTTTTACTTGTTTTTAATGATTTAATCTAATCTAATGATCTTGTTCTGCTGGCAGGTAGGTTCTCTTATATTTCATCTCTTTTATGAAATGAAGACGGTTCTGTCAGTTGTTTCTCAAGAGCCGAGTTTCTGAAACAGGAGACAGTCGCTTACGCCTCCTTCTGATTTCCAATAAGACGCTCTGTGAAAAAGGGGCCACTGAGGGTTCTCCAAGCGATGCCATACAGGAACCACTCTGATTCCCTAAACAACCACTTTTGAAAAGAAATTTGTCAGTGTGAAGAACCTTATAAAGTTTTGAAGAACCTTCACATGTCATAACGGGCTCTTCGTAGAACCTTTACATTATGTGGAGGTTTTTCCTAGAACTTTTTCTTCCTAGAAGTTTTTAAAGTTTTAAAGAATTTCCACACAATGTAAAGCCTCTAGAAAGAACCGCCACAGAATGTAAGCGTTCTTCTGAAGCCTTCACATTATGCGGGGGTACTTCAAATTTTAAAAGGTTCTTCACTCTCACACTCACTTGCAAAAAGAAATGGTTCTCTAGAAGGACCGTCTACTGAAAGATGCTTCTTTTATGGTTTAATGCGACGAACTCATGCAAAGAAGCCACTTTCAGGTTTGAAGAACCTTGAACACATGGCATGAAGGGCTCTTCATAGAACCTTTACATTAGGTGTAGGTTCTTCCTAGAATGTATTTAAAGGTTTGAAGAACTTACACATAATCTACAGGCTCTAGGAGAAACCTGGAGAACATCAACAAATTTCTAACTTCTACAAATTTAACATCTAGAATTGATCAAAACACAAAACTGTTCCAGAAATTACTACAAATAAATAATGACAGTGTTATTTATCATTTAATACGTTCCTGATCTTTCATAAAACTTTCAATATTAAATAAAAATCATTAAAAAATTAAAATAAGTACCTTGTGAACACTCGATTCCAAAGTTCTGCAGCAGCGTAGAGTGAACTCATAATGAGAAATATTAGATACACTGTGTACATTTAAAAAAGGCTTTTCCTGCATAATTAACTGGTTAAGCTGTAATCAGAGTCAGTCAGAGTGGTTTGGTGTGAAATGCTCTGTTCTACAGTCAGAACTGTTCACAGTGGTGGTGATAGGAACCAGACGTCCACCCTCTAAAAGCTCCCTCACAGAAAGTTACTACATGAAATGGTTATGAATTCACTGCCTGATGACTGAGACACTGTTTTATGATAGTTTAGAGAACTTAAACTCCATTCATGGTGGAGGGATACATGCAGGGTGCTGTGAGGCAAAATAGTCCCCAAAGAAAACTGATTATTTCAGATTTTCCACTAATTTCCATCATCAACATTCCATATAAACTCAGAAGACTCGTGTAGGTTCACTGGTGGTTCTGGATAGTAAATAAAATGTCTATATTTGTGTTGTAGTCATGGCGACCCCTGGTTCCTATCACCACCACTGTAAAGACATCTGAACCATTTCACACCAAACCGCTGTCCCTCTGAAAAACTGGTGTAATTCCCTTTTAAGATGGTTCCAGTTGCCAAGACAGCATTATTTGCAGTGTATATGGAATAAAGGGAATAACAGTTTAATGCACATTGAGACAGAACGGTACCTTTGAGTCGTACCACAGAGAAATCCTGAGTTTGATATGGACGCGGGTTCCATTACGCGCTTCGGTGGTGAAGAATATTACTGTACAACTACACAGACCTGCGTCAGCTCCTCCAGCCTTCTGAACCTTCCTCTACTACAGTCAGCGAAAGACAGACGTTCTGAAGAACTGAAGAAACTGTGAAAAAGTCAGAGACCCCTCATTTCTTTAACTTCCAGTCAAATAAACAAGCTATTCATTTTCCAGGAGATATTCCTGAGGAGATTAGACGTTTCTGTCCATCCTTCCACTGTGAGAAGACGACTCAGCGCTGTGGGTCTGAAAGGATGTGTAGCTGTCAAGAAGAAACTCACTGAGAAAAGGAGACGGACACATCAAACAAAGAAGCTGAACGATGGACTGACCACCCCAGAGTCCAGACCTCAACACCACTGAATGTGTTTGATTACTTCAGAAAATGATCAACCAGCTTCTAAGACTGAACTTTGGAGGTGTGTCTGCAGATTCTTTGAGGAGCTGAAAGTGAGTCTCCTGAAAAGAATGGAAGCTGGAATAGAGGGAGAGAGTGACTCACTGACTCACACAGCTGAGAGTAGAGTTAGCTGCTTCTGTTAAACATGAGAAAAATCAATAACTTGTTGTTGTTAACGTTGTTAATTGCTGTTTTGACAGGAAATGAAATAAATGGTCTCCAACTTTCGCTCTCAGAGTCTGTTATTAAGGCAGAGGTGAACAGATTGACTCTCTCGCTCTTTCACATTCACACAAACACAATCACGCTCTGATGCCACCGTCACATTTTTGTTCTCAGTATGAAGGTCACAGTGTCATCACCATCATCATAAAAGCAATCACTTTTTCAACAAATATGTATATTCCTGATATCAAAAAGACGTTTTTGCATAATCTAAAAATGAAACAAGGCCGTTTAGGTGTTGCATCCAGCTCAGCGGGATAAGACGCTAAATGCGCCGTGAAGTCTGAATCCCAAAGTTCAGTGCAGCTCTTTCTCTGAAGCTGTTGAGTCCGAGCGCCAACTCACCACTTAAAGGAACAGTGCATTACAAAAATGTTAATGTAGCTAACAGGAAACAAAACATACAGCCTCCAACTAGCATACCAGCTTCTATTCACCGTTAGCCACGTTAGCATCTTTGGTTGAGCTATTCCTTTAGCAGAAACCACTGGAAGCCTTGTTCCTGGTGGGTTGGCACTCCACACCAATCCTCAAATAGTAATAATAAAAAGAGTTAGCTGACACAACTGCACCCTGAACAGCTTGTGTATGTTTCTCGGCATGTTCCTGTGCAGTTAGAGCGTGTCTCTGGTCCAGTAGGGTTCCAGGCCGGTCAGCAGTGTGGTCGCTGGTCCCCGGCCTGAAGTTCCACAGCGTTGTACGCTCACTCTCCAGGTGAAGCTCTTCTCCTCAGGGGTGTCAGCTAAGGCCGATGAAACCTGAGGGACAGAGGTGACGTTCTGTGTTAGCATTTATGTTTACATTTCCAACGTTCTAAAGGACTAGATAACATGGCCAGGTGTGGCAAACCTGGTGTATATCTTGCTTTCCTCGTGGACCTCCATCTCCGAACTCTTAAACTCATTCAGCTCCTTTCTGATGGCGGCCTGCAGAAAAGAGAGAGAACGTGAGCTCAGCATGCAGACCGGCCGACTCGCACACCGAACACAAACACAGTCACTGCTGTTAAAGGAAAGGATTGGCAGAAAATCTAATTAACGATTCATCACCTACTCCAGATGCAGTGGATCTGCCAAGACGTCTGACGTGCTTCTACTTTAGCCTACAATGGGAGATGCTACGCTAATGCTGCTAACAAACACCAGACCTCGGCCTTGTTCAGACTGCCAGCCCAAATCTGATTTCTGTCATATCCAGACTGTAACCAGACTTATTTCTGATAATCTAGACAGCAAGGAAAACCTCACAAAATCTGATTTTTGCAGATCGGATCCAAACCACTTTTTGGAGCTGGTTTGAAATGCGTCATGAGACGCAAAAGAGTCATGATTATGAAGAGAGTTCTGAAGAGTTTGGAGGGGAGATGATGCTCCTCCATCTCTCCTGCATCCATGATTGAAATCCCGCCACCAGTGCAGCTACGTAGTTACTGACGCCTACATTGTTCCCACGTAAGAAAATATTGGTTAAAATATGTCAGAATCTTTGTGGGTTTTAAAAAGAAATTTCTTAAGAATGGTTGATGAATGAGACCCAATAGTTCTATTTAGAGCATTTCATGCTTAAATGGTTCTTTGCACGGTGAAATGGTTCTTCAGATTGATGTTGTATATAGTTCTATATAGTACCAAAAGGTTGTGCTATTGCTACGATGCCTAGCTTGTAACAACAGAAACACTCTTTTTGGTGCTCTGTAGAACCATATGCAACATATTCTCCATCCATCTGAAGAACCATTTCACCATACAAAAAACACATAAGCAGGAAATGGTTATAGTTCTGAATAGAACCATTGTCTTTACTAAAGAACCCTTGAAGAGCCATCTTTTTAACTGTGTACCACATACTGTGCTGAGGTTAAAGTGGTTCTGGTAGTACGGCTGGTTTATTTTTGTTATTATAGATTAATATATAGGTCATACTGTGTTTTAAATCACATCAATGTGTCTGTGTGACGCAAGTGAAGATCTGGATGTGTTCTAAATGGGCCGAGAGACGTTTCTGGGCCTGTATTTAGAGACGAGTCCAGTGTTTGTTAACAACGTTAGCCTAGCAGCTCCTGCTGAACACTACGCTCTATGTGTAGCGTTCAGTGATGTGTTAAATAACTCACGTTACCCATTTTAACACTTTCTGTGTCAGATCGTTCTCTGATTTAACACATTCTGTACTAACAGTAACCCAGGATGTGTTTTCCATAACTGGGTACAGAAATATTTAAACAAATTTTGTCTTAAGAGTCTCCAGTTGAACACACTGATGTGTCTAGTCGGAGACAGAATGTGTTGTTTTTAACACGTCAGCTTTAAGAGTGTAGAGAAGCACACGGCAGATATCAGACACGTCTCAGCTGATCTAACAAGTCTGGAATAAGGCTTCGTTCACACAGCAGGTTAAAGTGGCCCAAATCTGATCTTTTTCTTCAGATGTGACACAGATGTGTGTCTGTGTGTCAGTGTGAACAGATAAACACACTGAATCTGACATTTTCAATTCTGATTTGAGACGCTTTCATATGTGGTACTGAAATCCGATACGTATCCGATCTGCGGCAATGCGACTCAGTCTGAACAGCCAGATCGGACTTTCACATCAGTGCAACTCAAGATTCGTCATAATTTTGTGCTGCTGAGACTCACAAACATTTATTTTTCACTGATTTTTCTGTACAAAACATAATTAGAGACTCATCAAAACCCTCCGCGTTCAAAGAGGTTTTGAAAGAAACGGCTGAACGTGGTCGGAGGAGCCCGAGGCTGCAGCATCAGAGAAGAGTTTAAAGAATCCGAGGACACGAACCAAACAAGTGACCGTGGCCGCATCACGAGCCCTTTTCACGGCAAACTCAAACACACTGTGGGTGATGAGTCCAGCTGTCAACCACTGGAACTTCATAATGGCTCCTGTGATGCTGATGAAGCTGAAGCTGCGGGAGCGACTGGCGTTCGCTGGCCGTGATGACTGTTTACCTCTGGATGAGCCGCGTGAAGCTCTGTTCTTTTGCGCGTGTGGGTCGGTTTAGGAGCTGATCTGTTCACACTGATGTCGCCTACAGGTCACATTTAAAAGATAATGTGAACAGCCAAACAAAAAATCTGATTTGGTGAGAAAATCAGATTTGGGCCACTTTTACCTGCTGTGTAAACGTAGCCTAAGAGATGAGCCGTGTTTTTTCTGAACTCCTTTAAGAGCAGCTAAGACTGAACAAACAGCTGTGAGATCAGTGGAGGATCTCAACATTAACACACACTGCAGGAAACAGTCTGATCTTTCTCTTCTCCTCTTTACTGTCTTTAGCTGAAGGTCAACAGAAGAATCTGAGCTTCCTTTCTCTGTTTGATTAGCTTCCACAGTTACAGCCCACTGTTTGCCCTTGGAGTGTAAAGTAGCAGCTCACACAGTTCATTTCAACATGAAAGGAGTGTGTTAATTTTGGGGAAGTGTAGAGCTGTGTTTGTTGGATGAGCGTGTCGGGTGGACAGGTGTTCTTTAGCACATGCAGATATAGACCACGTTAAAAACACACTGACCCTTATTCAAAAAAGCTGATCATAAAATAGGCGCACGCGAATTTCACCCACAGGTTTGTTATTTACCAGTTTCATTACTTTGGCGTATCTGTGCCATCAAACTCACACCTGGTAGGAGTGTGTAAAAATTATTATCAGAATTGTCTGTAATACCAATAATAAGATTAAAAATAGAAAATAACTAATAATGTGTGCAGCACAACAGTGGATGTACTTATTTTACACACACACTGGCTCTTATTTATCAAACTCCTTAGAGTAATAATACTGATCTGGGATCAGCTGATGTTCCATAACCTGACGATACCTGCTCTTAGATCAGTGCTAAATGCTGTCTTTTTATTGGCTCCTGACTAAACATCTGCATGAATTAGAGCATGCTTCATATAAAAAATATGTGTAAGAGGTGCTGGTAAGCGCACTTGATTTCACGCACAGATACTGACTGCCCTCAGATCTCCACTCGATTCCACGTTATACGAAAGTTTAATGAATCAGACGCAAAACAGTTCGTACGTCATTAAAGAGCATCAAATCTGCACTCCTTGATGAATAATATGAACAACCAAACAAAAATAATATCAGATTCGGGAAGTAAATTGAGGATTGGGGCCACTCTGAGTGCGGCTGCAGAGCGACATACTTTCATACTCCACATATTTATTTTCAGAGAAAACAGGGTTACCCACATCTGCTCCAGGAGCTCCGCCCCTCCAGCAGAGCTTCCAATCTTCATCTCGCTGCATATGTTTAATATTCAGATGTTCCTGAAGACCTTAATTAGCTGGAGCTACACTAATTAGGCTTCCTAATACGTATCAAACCCGCACATGCAGGTGAACACGACCCCATATAAAAAACGCCCGATGTGCCCGTTCTTCGAGACTCGAGAGCCGACGCTGACCTTATCAGCAGGGGTGAGTTTGGTCCAGGGTTTGTCTGCGCGGCGGTCGTAGTCTTCGGCATGCGTGCTCTCCACGTACTCGTGGAAGCGAAGGATCTTCCTGGCCTGGAGCTCAGCTACTGTGGGCCTCTGGGACAACTGCAGGAGCAAACACACTCATCAGGACGACACACACTCATCAGGACGACACACACACACTCATCAGGACGACACACACACTCATCAGGACGACACACACACACTCATCAGGACGACACACACTCATCAGGACGACACACACACACTCATCAGGACGACACACACACACTCATCAGGACGACACACACACTCATCAGGACGACACACACTCATCAGGACGACACACACACTCATCAGGACGACACACACTCATCAGGACGAAACACTCATCAGGACGAAACACACACACTCATCAGGACGACACACTCATCAGGACGACACACTCATCAGGACGAAACACACACACTCATCAGGACGACACACACTCATCAGGACGAAACACACTAATCAGGACGAAACACACTCATCAGGACGAAACACACACACTCATCAGGACGAAACACACTCATCAGGACGACACACACTCATCAGGACGACACACACACTCATCAGGACGAAACACACTAATCAGGACGAAACACACTCATCAGGACGACACACACTCATCAGGACAAACACACTCACAGTGTTTACTGTGTGCTGTGAACAGCTACTACAAGGTAATAAAAAACATCACTGATAATTATTTTCATAGCCAGTTCCATTAAAATGCTAAAGCAGGGATCCTGCCCAATCTGGCAACCCTGAACAGGTAGCTGGCTCTGTTTAGGTCCCTCAAGATACCTTTATATTAGAGCAAGCGCTAAAATCAGCCCCTACGGCTTTACCGCCCGGCGCAGTCGGAATACCTGCTATGGAATCCCTGGTGGTTGCTAAGGTGTTGCTGGGCCATTACTGTTATCTTTCAAGTGGTTGCTAAGGTGTTGCTAGGCAGTTGCTATGGAATCCTACATGGTTGCTAAGGTGTTGCTAGGCCGGTGCTATGTAGTCCTAGATGTTTGCTAAGATGTTGCTTGGCCGTTGCTATAAAAATACAGATGGTTGCTAAGGTGTTGCTAGGCCGTTGCTACGGAATCCCAGGTGGCTGCTAAGGTGTTGCTGGGCCATTACTGTTATCTCTCAAGTGGTTGCTAAGATGTTGCTTGGCCATTGCTATGAAATCCCAGGTGATTGTTAAGGTGTTGCCTGGTAATTGCTGTGTTATCTATGTCATTGCTAAGGTGTTGCTAGGCCATTGGTATGGAATCCCAGGTGGTTGCTAATGTGTTGCTAGGTGGTTGCTAAGGTGTTGCTGGCCAGTTGCTATGGAATCCCAGGTGGTTGCTAAGGTGTTGCCAGGCCGTTGCTATGGAATCTCAGGTGGTTGCTAATGTGTTGCCAGGCCGTTGCTATGGATTCTCAGGTGGTTGCTAAGGTGTTGCCAGGCCGTTGCTATGGAATCCCAGGTGGCTGCTAAGGTGCTTCTAGGCCATTACTGTTATCTCTCAAGTGGTTGCTAAGGTGTTGCTGGCCAGTCGCTATGGAATCCCAGGTGGTTGCTAAGGTGTTGCCCGGCTGTTGCTATGGAATCTCAGGTGGCTGCTAAGGTGCTTCTAGGCCATTACTGTTATCTCTCAAGTGGTTGCTAAGGTGTGTTTAAACACTGTTAGCTCTACTGCTCTTCTCTCCTCTGTCGCTGTTCTATTATCCTCATTTCATCTTTAATTTGGTTTTTAATTTAATGATTAATTTTGTCTCTTTTAAAATCGATGCTTTAATCATGTTTTAATGTCCATACGTCTTTGTTTAGTGTCACTTGTTGAATTTTAATATGACTCATCTTTGTACTTCATCATCTGTGAAGCACCTTAAATGACCCCAGTGTATGGAAGGTGCTGTATAGATAAACTGGCCTGGGTGCAGAGCTGACCACTATAGGAAGCTTTGTTCATTAAATCAAATGCTATCTTGTCACGATACAGCAGAATGTAGCAATATGATCACATACATGTCACACATGTCACAGTTACCGCGGAAACAAACTTCACACTCACGTTCTGTGGAGACAAGAACTAGTGAGTGAGGGTCTAACCTTTCTCGTGAGCCTGCGTTTGATCTCGCTCCGCTCTGCTCGCCGGTCCGCCTCGTTCTTGGCTGAAACAGAAAGAAACATGCTCACTCACTCTGCAGAGCTCCGTCTGTAGAACCGCTCGCGTAACAGCACTCTGTATTCAGACTCCACACAAGGAGAAGCTCTGTTTCACTTTCCCCTTTCCTTTTAGAAGAGCAGGGGTTCCTTTTAGAGTGCCCCAAGTTCTAGGTATGAACCTGGTAAGTATGAGGTACCAACTCCAACATACTAGGTAATTATTTTGAGCAACATGGTAAGAACAAGACAGACTAGCTAAACTGCACTGAAATGCCCAACAATGTGTGGAACAATCTCCAAGATCATTGTTGGTAACATGACAGTACGTACAAGACAACCTCACTAAATTCCACTGAAATGCCAAGTAGGTTCTACGTATTCACTGGGTATATGTGTGGAACAATCTCTGCGGAACTGGGTAATTATTACTGATAACATGATGGCAAGAACCAAGACAGTCAGGCTAAACTAAACTGGCCTGCCCAGCAAGTTCTAGATACGACCTAGGTTATGTGTGGAACAATATCCAAGGTTTTAGGTAATTATTTAAGGGTGACACGATGGTGAAAACAAGAGAGTCTAACTAAACTGCACTCGAAAGCACAACAGGTTCTAGATACTCACCCAGTACATTTTTAAGTAATGGGATGGTTAGAACCTAGGCAGTCTAGCTTAATTACCTAAGAGGTTCTAGGAATCCACTGAGGACACTTTGAAAGTTTAAGGTAATGACTTTGTCTTGTCTTGACCAGACGAACCCTGAAGCTTGTGTGTTACTCCAAATAATTACCCAATTATTAATAGCTGCCTAATAGACAGAACACACTGGGCATTTAAGTGTGATTTAGTTAGGACTCTTACCATCACGCTACCCAAAATAAGTATTTTGGATACTAGAATACCTAAAACTAAGTCGACCGTAAAAGAAGACATTTTTGAGTCACATGACTGAAGTTTTACCTTAAAAAACACAACTGTTTTGAAGATATTAAGCATAAATCAAACCATAAATCATATATCGCTGTTGTCGGAAGAAAACCTCATATCTCTAAAATAGTAACTTTACAGGAGAAGGAAAAAAAAACTTCTTTACTTTTAATGCAAGTCAATGGAACCAGACTTTTTCCAAGTAATTCTGGGCCGTTTCTTCTGGTCCATTCATCATGAATTTACACACAATGTAAAGGCCAACAGGCATTTTTAAACAATGTCAAAAACTGAAAAACAACAAAAAAATGGAGATACAAGGTTTTGTCCCAACAGCAGCGATATGCTTCAGATTGGTCCTGCAGGAAACAGACATGTTGAGGCGTAATACATTCCACTGAAAACCTCACAGGTGTTGGTACTATTAACATAGACCACCAGGGGGCAGCAAGAACATTCTGAACAGCAACATGTGGCTGTGGAACTCTGCTGGCTTCTCTTTCTTCATCCTGCTCTTTAACACACAGCAGTGAGGCTGGCAGCAGAGCGTGCTGGTGAGACTGACCTTGCAGAATGTTCCTCTGCTCGAGCTCTTGCTGCGTCGGCCTCTGACTGAGTCGCCTGAGAGGACACAGCACAAAACACCACACCATTAACCACCGCGTTTGGGGTTCTACGCTTGTGTAACACTGATGTAAGATACAGAAAAGTGCGAGTACCGTGTGAGGGTGTTGCCGATCCTGCTGCGCACAGCCTCCCACTGCTCGCGGCTCTTCCAGGTGGTGTTGTCCTGGTTCTGCTGCACTTCCTTCTCCTGCTGCTTCTCCAGCTTCAGAGCCAGTGTGTCCTTTCGCTTCACACGGGACGCCAGACCAGCTAAAGACAGACAGACACGTTAAAATCAGAGCTCAGCGACGTTTCAGGGTCACAGTGATCAGGGCTGATGTTTATTTGTTCTTTTCAGGTTAGAGAACCCATCGGGGATCCTTCATGTACATCAGGGCTCAGGTCTGTTTTCTAAGGAGTGAGTTTTTATGTACAGAGAAAGATATTTAGCGTTAGTGTGTCGTACACATCGGTACGTCCTCCTCCTCGCTGTCGTCAGCGTCATCTCTGTAGAGGATCGGTCCGTCCGAGTCGCTCTCCTCGTCCTCCTCGCTGTCTCCACCTCCTCCGGTCTCGGGGATGACCGTCACACTGGGGTTCTCCACCAAACCCCGCCTGCTCCGGGGCTCCAGCTCCGGCTGCCGAGGGGGCCGAGGCGGCTGCAGCTTCGCCAACTCTTCCTCTATATCAAAGTCATCATCCTCTGGCCTGAGAGAGAGAGAGAGAGAGAGAGAGAGAGAGAGAGAGAGAGAGAGAGAGAGAGAGAGAGAGAGAGAGGGAGAGATTTGTTGCATGTTGCATTTTCATCATATTCCACTCTCTGTGATTCTCTTACAGCAGTTACTGGTTCTCACTGATCTGATTGGCTCTAACAGTCAGTCATCTCTGATTTATCTAAACACTTCCGTCCAATCACAAGAAACTTCACCCATGGTGCAGTGCAGTGCGAAATAAAGCCAACAGGTGGCAGCAAAGACACAAACAGCACACATCTCGGTTCAAAACAAACAAATGAAAACAGTGAAAAACTCCACCCACTGCCGGAGAGGACATGGGAACATTCTGGAATTTTACAAACACCAGGAAGTCAGGAGTTGGACATGAGTCAAGCAAGCTGTGCAGAAACACAGTAAAACACTGCAGCAACACGACCAACTTCCGTCTTTACATGACGAGACGTCAGACTGATCAGCAGCTAGAACAGGTCCCACACAGGGCTGAGCGCTCGCAGCAACCAGGCGCGAAATAAAAGCTGAATAAATGTGTTTACAGCAGTTTTTACCACCACTGCACGGTGTTGCCATATGGCAACAATTTATTTATCTCAATTTTACCATAAGGCAGTAACATAAAATCAACGTGTTACTGTTTTACTGTGGAAAAAGAGTCTTTCACTTTAAAAGGACAAATATTTGATGACATCACATGACTGGGAAATCCTGTTTGCACTCCTTTTTTTTTCCATGGACACTTGACACTGAGAAGGTCGTGACCTGAGGGCTCACAAAGTTGACTGATTTTTTAATATTTAGGAAAAATTCCTTCAAGAAAAAAATTGAAATATTATGCGGAGCAACTTAATATTCATCATTAAAACCAGTTTAGATGTGACAATGTTTTTGTAAAATGGTAAAATTAATTTGTTGCCTTTTGGCAACTATACACACATATGGAAGTGATCTGTGTGCATTCAACCTATTAGACTGTGACTGACTTACACAGCACTAGGCTGCTATGTTCACCACTATTCTTACAACTTTTGATTACATTTAAAAGAGAAAAACGTATATTTTTTAATTTGGCATTTTGTAAATGTAACATATCTGGATTATAAATTGCGCCACTGCAAATCGTGTTTTTAACAGAAGGAATCGCGATTTCGCCAAACAGATTATATGTTGGTTCACTTCTGTGTGCATTTCTAGTGAATTAAAACATGTTAATGATGACTAAATGAAATGAATGAGACTGAATGATTAAACGGAACTGAAAAGAAAATAAATATTTTTGATCAAGACAATGATGTGCCTGTGTCATATTACAGGTGTATGTAACGTATGTATCTTATTACAATGTTATTGTTACCAAACATTTCAAATAACAACTGGAATTATACTCATTTAACTGTGTAAATATTGGGTTATACATTTTACTATGAATCATAACATAAAAGTATGTTTTTAGAGAATAATTAGATTTTATGGTACTTTTCACGACTGCACATTGTTGCCATATGGCAACAATTTTCCAACTACTACTCTTGAAAAAATTATTTTTAAAAAGAAAAAAAATGTAATTTAAGCAATTTTAAATAATAAAGTACATTAAAATGTTCACCATGTTTAAGTAATAATGGTTAAGTGTCGCTATTTTTAATAAAAGACTAAAATAGAAACGATATGCAGTCCTATAAATGTACCATCTATAAAGTGGACAAAAGTTTGTTGCATTAGTAAGTCAGAATGTTAAGACGGTCCAGTGCTGGTCATTCTGTGCAAGATTTGTGTTGCATAATTTTGTGTGCTATATCAACAGAGCACTGACTACATTTTTAAATAAATGAGGCATTAAACAAACTTAATATTTCAGATTTTCCACTATTTTCCATCGTCAACATTCCATATAAACTCAGAAGACTCGTGTAGGTTCACTGGTGGTTCTGGATAGTAAATAAAATGTCTATATCTGTGTTGTAGTCATGGCGACCCCTGGTTCCTATCACCACCACTGTAAAGACATCTGAACCATTTCACACCAAACCCCTCTGAGTCTCTGTTTACATCATGATTAATGAACAAGGCTGACAAACTCACAGTCTGAGGGGTTCGATGGTGACCGGAAGCGAGCGGCGTCCGCTCGTCTCGACCAGAACCTCTCGGTGGCATCTCGAAGAGCAGAGAGTGAGCTCGGTGAGAGCCGTCCGGGTGCGGCGGTGCCACCGGGCCGGGGCTGTTCAGTGCCCGCTGGATCAGGATGTGCAGGGGGATGGCGGGAGGCTGGGAGGGCGGCTCTGTGGTGGGGCTTGGGGGGTCCACTCTGGGGACGGGGGGGTTCGGGTGAGCGCGTGGAGGAGACGGAGGGATGTGGACGGGCGGTGGAGAGACCATTCCAGGGGCGGAGACGGGGTTTTTGCTGTCTTCTGGTTGGGAGGTGGGCGGAGCAGGGGAGGGGCCTCTGGCAGGCAGCTCAGGCTGAATGGACGAGAGGTCCTCTGAGTGGCGTTTAGTAGTGACCGGTGTGGATCTCGCTGGGGGAATGGGAGGGGAACGCTTGGCTGGAGTTGGGTGTGGGGCTCCGGGAGCTGGAGGGGGATCCACTGTGGAGAACAAGAGAGATAAGAACAAAGTAAATGAGAACGGAGGACCTTAGTACGAACAGGAAACACTGTGCAGCGTAAGGGTGGGCGATATGGATAAAATATAAACATTATGATACTTTTTCACTGTATGTAGGATGATATCCATTTTTTCTGAGGTTTCTGAACAAATTAGTACAGCGCTACATTTTAAAAAGGCTATTAAAACTATGTGTTTGTTGATTTAAGATCTAACTAATAAGGAATCAAACAACTGGTAAAAACAAATGAATAAAATAAGACGACTTTATTAACGGGTTGCCATCCGATCAGCTACTTGTTACTATGTAGTTACTATCCAAGAGGCCTGTGCCTGGTGATGGTTGACCGAGTCACCGCAGTAACAGCCCCAGTGATGGTTAAACTCATTTATGTTCCTTACATTGTTGATTTATTGATTTAACTCAATACTAAGGGTGTTTTTACACTAGAGCTCTTTTTCCGCTCTGCGAGTTCGGGACATTTGGTCGAGTGTGGAAGCTGTTTTAAAGCCCAAGAGTGGTCAATTTTTATGGTACATGTTCTTTTGCTACTTTGTCTCGGAGTGAAGTCCTGTAGATTTCTATTTTATGCAAATGAGTATGGATATTTTATGCAAATGAGGGCACCAATTAGACTAGGGGCAGAGTAGACTGGTCTTCACCACGAATGCAAAACAAAACATGAAAACAACAGAGACTGGCTCTCTTTCTCTTTTATTCATTCATTACAATTCAACAAAATAATTAAATATCTAGTTTTATACAGAACTGTTGACGGGAAGCTGTTTGATTGGATAAAGATCACATCATTTGAGACGGAACCAAAATCTAATCCACACAGAGCTCTGAGATTAGGTACTAAGGTAGTGAGCTTACTGTACTGAGCGAGCTCGGACAACTGATGCACTCTAAAAATGATAAAAGCATAAAAAGCGCAAGTCTGTATTTTAATCTCACTGCACGCTTCTTTCCTATGTTAAAACAAATCAGAACCTGTAGAGGGATCCAGTGCGCCGGAACGTGGCGAGAAAAAGTGTATCCTTAGACGGTTCCTAAATATGAAGCGGACTAAAGAGAAGACACAATAAAAGCATAAGATGAAGTTTGTCAAATAAAAAGTAAAGCAAAAGGGGAAAAAATCCACCACAACCTGCTCTGACTGTTCACTACGGTTATTTTCTAGACGGTTCTCCAAATGAGAGGGTTCTGCTACTGGCACAGGCCTACTGTACACTGGTTCCTGTTGCTCGCAGGCTCGTATATATATATATTTTTTTTTATGATCTATTATACATATATTCAGAAAAGTAATTTATCACAATAACAATCACATCTTCATATCGCCCGCCCCCAGTGCAGAGGGTTCCAGCTCTGGTCCTGCATATTTTTCCGTTTTCCTGCTCAAACTCCCACTAATCGGCAGATGAGAAGCCCTTTCTGAGATGAAGTGGGTACATCAGAGCAGGAAAAGCGCTGAACTGTGCAGGACTGGAGGAGCAGATTAGAAAACACTGTGTTAGTGTTACTGAGCTCAGCTTCACGGAGTAAAGTTAGTTGTTCACTTCAGTCGTAATTAAACATTAAAATTAAGCATAATTACTTTCACAGCATCTTTAGGCTTCATGCACAACAAACCATGCTGGACACTGATATGGACAGAAATACTTCAGTAAATTAAACCGGTATGTGCAGCTGAGGCCGCGGTCTGGCCCGGTGTTCTCATGCACCGATCGGAGATGACGGGTTGGGTTAGATATTATTACAAACACTTGGGTTTATTTTCAGCTGCAGATGGTCTGTTAGTTCAGTCCAACATCCTCTCGTTCCAGTCCAAAAGGAGCTCTCGGCTCTCGGTTCCTCTCCTTTATCAGCCCATGACCAGCGCAAAGTAACGCAGTCTGTATTTCTACAGGTGCACCTGGATTTTTATGCCCAAATTGGTGGTCTTAAAAAGCCAGGTTGAGTTTATTTTGCACGAAGGGTCTTTAAAATGATGTATTTTGCTGCTATCAGAATAGAACTTCATATCTCCAGAAAGGTAACGTTACAGGACAAGGACAAACATCCTGAACTTTAATGGAAGTGAATGGAACATTGATTTTGGAGCATTTCTGTTGGTCCATTCATCATGATATTTTGACACGTCATAAAGGGCAAATGACCTTTTCAGGTTCTGTCAAAAAATGAAAAAACACAAAAATGGAGATATGAGGTTTTGTCCCAGCAGCAACGATATGTACAGTAAACCATTAAATAACATTAGAACAAATCGCTGTTGTCGGAAGAAAACCTCGTATTTCCAAAACGGTAACTTTACAGGAGAAGAAAAAAACCTGCTTTACTTTCAATGTAAGTCAATGGAACCAGACTTTTTTCCAAGTAATTTTGGGTTCTTTCTTCATGAAATGTACAAACAATGTAAAGGGCAATGGGTATTTTCAAATTATCTCAAAAACTGAAAAACGTGGAGATGCGAGGTTTTCTTCCAACAGCAGCGAAACATAAATACTCCCATTTCCCAACTACACGGATTTACAGATTTTCTCAGAGCACTTTTGCACAATACTGTACATCATAAAATCATATATAAAACTATATACAACTGAAAACTCGTCCGATCCTGATCCTGCGCTCTCTCTGTGGTGCTGATAAAGGGAGGAAAGGAGGATCAGATGCCTCTTCTGCTGGTTCTGGAGCGAGACAGCTGAGACACATGCACGGTCCGGGTGTGGACTCTTTTAGGGGGTACTGACTGACAGGCACGCGTGCCGGAGGCAGGCTGGCACCTGGGCAGGGCAGAGGGCCACGGCGACACAGATAGCTGGGCAGGGAGAGGAAGACGCCGTTGGCGGCCTGCTGTCTCCAGCTGGTCCAGTACGGAGGAGGCTGGGCTTTAGTGCGTCTGTGTAACGTTGCAGCTGGAGGGGAATGAGGGTCAGTACAGTTAGCCCCCAACTGATTACCTCGACTCGACTTTGGTACCAGCTCACATTTAAAAAACGCTCTTTAACAGAGAAAGTGATTCTGCATAGAATCTGAAAGAACCCTTTACAAGATTAACAGGTTCTCTGCATGGTTAAAGGGTTCATCAGATTGATGGAGAATGTGTTTTACACCCTTTTTTAAAAGGGTTCTACATAGCACCAAAAAGGGTTCTTCTGTTGATACAATGTCGAGCCTGTAGCAAAAGAAGAACCCTTTTTGGTGCTATATAGAACCCTTTTCAAAAAAGGGTCATCTTTTTGAAAAAAGAACCACATTCTCCATCAATCTGAAGAACCTTTTCACAATGCAAAGAACCATTTAATCATGTAAAGGGTTCTTTCAGTATACTTCATTTTCCACTGCAGATATAGCGCCCCCTCAATGTAGCTGGTCGTCACAGCGACACCGCATGAAACCGAGACAAACTGTATTCAGAAGAGGCCGATGGCAGCGAGACTAAAAACAGGAGAGTTTGGATGAAACTTCGCCAGAGTTCAGACGACGAGACGGTTCTGGCGACGCTAACCTGGTAGCTAATGTTAGCATGTGTTTAGCAATTCTCTCCAACCAATCAGCTGGTACTCTGCAGTTTCTCCACGTCAACGTTTGGTATCAGCTCAGCTCGCTTAGAACCTCGACGTGATACCAAAAACAGTGAGTAGAGTTGAGTCAAGTCGGTACCTTGTGGTGGAAAAGCGGCTTAACATTTTGGGGTTAAATCTCTGACAACCAAAACATCAGGTTCCAATTCTCAGAACATTACGCCCCCCGACCGTCCTTAAGAAGAAATCTCTTCTTACACCCACTTACGCAGTTCTGACGAAGACTCTGACTCACCAGTGTCTCTGATGTGGGGTTTGTTCTTAGGCAAGAACAGAATCTACACACAGTCAAGAGCACAGAGCTGAGAACAGTTCTGCGCTTTAAGAACACGACATGAATCTGACGCAGACTTTTTCTTAGGATCTTTCACAACAGCGCACTTAAGAACAAACTTAGGAACATGTTGGAGAACAAGGAACAGTGGTCTTCAGGGAACTCCTATGGACCTGCTATTGTGGCTCTGGGGTCATGTGTCAGTTGTGTAAGGATTAGGCGGTGGTCTCTGTAGGATAAGAACCCTGTGGAAAGTAGCAGTCATGCTCAGTTTGTTCCGTTTGCAGTCCTGTGAGTAAGCGTTCATTAATGGTCTGGGTTTAGACAGACGGTTCTGGGGGAACCTTTTAAAACCATCAGAACAATCAAAAACAAGAACCAACAGAGCTTACGTTTCAAGTTCTAGTTCATGGTCCACCTATTTGAGAGATGACCACCACTCTAAAGCATCTAATTTGGCTAATTTGCTTAACATATCAGCTGATATGAAGTAACTGTTCTTCACCCAAACCGTCTAAATTCACACAGAACCGTGCGTGGAACCAAACGAAGTCTCGATTTTTCTCTGTCAAGTGTGGAAATGAGTGAAAACACTCGCTCTGGGGACGTCAGCAGCGTCAGAGTCCTATCTAGCCTTACAGCTGTTTGAGAGCTCTTAGCTGAACACTGGGAGCTGACCTGCTTCAAAGAATCGTCTTTTTTTTTTGCAAAGTAAGACGAAACGATGGATGAATATCCGCAACAATAACAACATCCATACCTTTAGTTCATCCAGTTAAAGCATGAAAACGTGAAACGTCTCTTTTCCTGTTCTTATAAAATATTCAAGACAATATTTTAAAAGCCCTATTTATAATCTTGTCCCCCTCAATCCAACTCAAATCTCTACGCAATCTCACGCCGACATCCAGTTCACAGCGGTGTGGGGCGAGTTGACCCGAGTTTAACTCGAGCTTGACCCGGCAGAGCGCTCTCAGAAGTGGTGGTCTATAAATGGCCTAACGCTGAAGTGGTGCGGGGGTCTGTCTGCTCTGAGGCCTCTAATGCTGGAAGCAGCTGTGTGCCTCACCCTCAATGTGCCCTTGACAGGCCAGGGGTCAGCAGACCCCCTTTAAAGAGGGCGGAGCTCCAGTTCTGCATTCTGCATTAGTGGGACTGCACTACTGGTTGGACTGGATGATTACAGGCCTACATTCCACACCTCACCAGATTCATTTACCCTCAGGGTTTTAGGCTCCGAGTTCATTAAATGCTGGATTTAAACTCACAGTGACTAAATCAGTGGTGAAGATAATGATAGTGTATTTTGCCAAACACGTTATTTTAGGATCTGCTTCTTAACAACAAACTATTATCGAACTATTAATAGTAAAAGGAAGCACGATAAGTGAAGCTTAGAAACGTGCTGTAGATGTGTTAATAAGGTCTATTTTTAATTGCTTTAATCAAAAAATATAAGCAGGTAATAATTATAATAATTATATGAATTCACACTGACCAAATATAATAGTAAATGGTCACATTTTACTTATTGTGGACGCCTGAACTCATTTTACAGTAACTCATGATATAATTTACAATATCAATGTTTTCTAAAATTACAATATTTCAATTGTTTTGCTCTTAAGTCTGAGATGTCCATGTTTAACAGTTTGTAGCCTGGAAATATTATTTATATGAATATACTAAAGGTAAGGCAGTGCTTATTAAGAATAAAAAAGTTTTGGTCGTTCACGGCCCAGTTTATTAATTTATTACTTTATTTATTTAACTGTTGTATTAAAGCAGTAGAACACTCGAGGAGTGTGTTATCGCCAATAACATCACGGCTGTGATGATCTACGGCGACCAAATCACAGCCGTGATGTCATTTCGCGATAACACACTCCCCTCTCGTGTTCTACTGCTTAGCTATAACACATTTGTAAGCTTGCTGATAAATGTTATGTTTCTGTTTAGTAGAGCACTTTAATCGCTTGCTAATAGTTTAGTAACTGTTAAAAAGCAGACTTTAAAATATTACCAGGCTAAATTCACTGTGGGTGAAAGAACAGCTGAGTGTCACTGCTGAGCACCACTGCCACAGTATTAAACACATAAATACTGAACATTCCTAAAGGAAATAAACAAAAATATAGTAAGTATCAGTATGAAGTACATCTGTGAAATGAAATGGGGGTTGTGTTTGTGCTATAGCAGCCTCAGTGCTCTGGAATGCTGTTCTACACGTTCTGAATGTTTCTTCAGATCTGATTAACTACCGACTCTCTGCAGAGAGGCTTTATCGCTCTGACTGTACTGAGGATTATCTAAACAACAACTAACCAGATGTAGAAAATACCACACATTCAGCCCCTTCACAGCTCGGAGGGTTGTGGGTTTTGTGCTCATTTAACACTGGATTTACTAATTTTTGTTGAAGCCAATTAAACGTGACTAGAAGTTCAGTGGTCAGTTCTTCATAGATGAGTTAGAAGTTCATGTTTTTGTTATTTATTTAAAATATGGAGACAATGAGCTGCACTAGAACCTTTTAAAATGCCTCTTATACTAGATACACACTGTTTCAGTTTGGAGTTTCAGTTATTCTGTCTAGCTTCAGCGTTCTCACAGTACAGTTTATTACTGTACACACTTAAAATGATGGTTCTTCAAGGGCTCTTTAGTAAAGAACATGGCTCTATTTAGAACCATGAACACTCAAAGAACCATTTGTACGATTAAAGCGTTCTTTTACAGGGTGAAAAGGATCTTTAGATTAATGGAGTGTGTGATGTAGATGGTTCTATATACAGCCTTTTTGAAAGGGTTCTATCTAGCACCAAAAAATGGTTCAGCTGTAATTACGATGTCAGGCTTGTTGCAATAGAAGAACCCATTTTGTTGCTTAAAGAACCCTTTTCAAAAGGGTTCTTTACAGAACCACACATTCTACATCAATCTGAAAAACCATTTCACGGTGCAAAGGGTTCTTTGAGTGTTCATGGTTCTATGTAGAACCATTTTCTTTACTAAAGAACCCCCGAAGAACCGTGTTTTAGGTGTGAATCTGCAGGTATCAGCAAATTCAATATCTTTAAAAATTAATTTTTATTGCCAACATTTGAGAAATCTTGAGGAATCCTTAACGCTGCCTTGAGCTGGTCATTTCATGAACCTCCATCCACACAAATCAAAGTTTTTAACGCAGAAATCTTCACTGTATGAGTGCCCAACATCCACTGGCGCTTATATCCATCAGGTGACTTATTAATGTTTTTACTCTGCATGTTCTGATCCTCAGCATTACCGGAGTTCTCTTTTAAATGTCGGCCAAAATGTTCAGCCTCGACTTCGTTAAATAAAACCTTTAACTTCACGTACACAGATCATCTGTAACACCGGATATCACATTTTCTCTCACATACATGCAGTTTCTGTCTGCAGCCATCCAGGATTAGTGAGATCCTGCTGGTGTGGGTTTCCTCTCATTCAGTAAAAGCAATCTGAGTGCTAATGGCTCCCCCTTTTGGAGAGTCAGCTAAACACAGCTTTGTAATGAAATGTAAATACCCTGTCTCATCATTCGAACCGCAAACTCATCAGTACGCTGGTTCACTGAGCTCTTGGTTTTGAAGGCGCTGTTAAATCCTAAACATGATGCAGCAGAGCGTTTAACCTGCCAACATATAATATTCATAATAAACGTGTTATGTAAAAATGCGGTTCATTGCTGCAGAACGTGGCACTCAACCAGATGTAGAGTTATCAGGGTATCTACAGGGATCAGAACATTCAATTTAATGCTTTTTAATTCATTTTAATGCCAATATTTAAGACATTTTGAGAAATCTTTAATGCATTAATGCTGCCATGAGCTGGGGATGTAGGTGAGGTTCCTCTAGCAGCGTAAACAGAGTGCAGAGAAAGAAGTGGAACTGGATTGTTCTCAATGCTACAGCTCGTTATTACATTCATTTTTTCACCTCTCGGGGCAAAATACCTGAACTATTCCCGAACAGCAAACGAGCATCTGTCTGCAGCTGTTTGGGCTTTAGCCTGCAGTCTAGCGTGGGTTCAGCACCAGAACATGCTGTGACAAAAACCCACCCAACCAAACCTACAACCAGAGTCCGTTAGCAGGCGTGTACCTGAGCTCAGAGCACCTGACAAACATACCAGAGACAAGCCTGAACCTGCTCTACTACAGTCATATAGACGCCCATAAACTCTCAGACACACTCCCATCAGCCTGATCAGTATTTAGAGCCATGTTAATGATGCCTTATGAATGCATTATAATGTGTTATGAATGTGTTCAGAGGTTATTATAGACATGGTACTCATAAAAAGTGTTACCATAATGCATTTATGATGAAACAGAAGCGAAAAGCAAAAATTAATAAAATAAATATTAAAAATAAGATGACAGCAAAATGGGCTGCCAACAATCAGCTACTTGCTGCAGTTGAAAATGACCAAATTTTAAAAATGTGAGGTAAAATACAAAAACTAAATAACAAAAATCTCCCAAAATACAAACCAGCTGAGGTTCATAATCTTCTCGCCTGCAGTGAAAGATTTAATCTGGCCAGCAGGTCCACATTTCTGCTCTCTATCCTGCCAACATGCTCCACTGCCTCATCAACTACCGTCACATTCAAGTTCTCCATCTTTCAAGCGTCTGAGGAGTCCAGCAGTGTTCTCTGCGCTGAGGGAGAGAACGTCCAAATAACTCTGACTCTTCTTTACAGAACTTAAATGGTTTTCCACTGAGGGAGCCAAATTCCATCCATGACACTTAAAACAAATGCCTGAAGCACACACTTAAGAACATGGCTCTTCACGGGTTCTTTAGTAAAGGCACTGGTTCCTTTAGAGACACGAGTTCTATATAGAGTCATTGGCATGCTTAAAGGGATTTTTGCATAGTGAAATGGTGCTTCAGATTGATGGAGAATGTGTTCTCTACAGCACCAAAAAGGGTTCTTCTACACTCTTTAAAAAGATGGCTCTTCGATAGTTCTTTAGTGAAGACAATGGTTCTGTATAGAACCATGAACACTCAAAAAACCCTTTGCAGGATTAAAGGGTTCTTTGCATGGTGAAATGTTTCTTCAGATTGATGGAGAACGTGTTGCAAAATGGTTCTATATAGCACCAAATTACGATGTCAAGCTTGCAACAACTGAAGAACCCTTTTTGGTGCTCTATAGAACCATTTTCAAAAATACTCTATATAGAACCATATACAACACATCCTCCATCATCTGAAGAACCATTTCATCATGCTAAGAACCATTTACCATGAAATGGTTCTATATAGAACGCATGGTTCTAAATACAGCCAAGGCCTTTACTGAAGAACACTTCAAGAACCACTTTTTAAGTGCGCACAATATTTAAAACCAAACTTGGTAACTCTAAATAAAAACCTTTCAAGACCTCAACAAATGGCATTATTATAACGCCGCACAACCACAAACACCAACTCCAGATCATTTTTCTTTGTGTTTGAGTTTATCAGCTCTGCGTTCTTCAGTTCTGGCCTTTAGTCAGCGGTCAGTTTCTGACCACAGGGTCACTGTGGAGTGGATACTTCTCAAGTGGATCGCTTGAGAATTTAATGCTTAATAAGTTTTAGATATTTTATGACCTTCACTGTCCAAATCCATTTCAACGCGATTATAAAACTCAGTCCTGCTTAAAACATCTCAGGTGAATTTTAGCCTTTGAACTGCATAAAATCTCTTCAGGAAAGTGTTGAAGTGGAAAGTGAAAGAAAAACACAGCTGTAAACTGAGCTGCTGACCCTGAGGTCACTTTTCAGCACTTGCGCTTTGGACAAAGAACCCTCTACGTGACTGAAAAGTTCTCTGCATCGTGACAGGGTTCTTCAGATTGATGGACAATGTGATGTAGATGATTCTATATAGAATCTTTCTGAAAAAGGTTCTAAGTAGCACCAAAAAGGGTTCTTCGATTGTGTCAAGCTTGACATTTTAACAAAAGAAGAACTCTTTTTGGTGCTATATAGAACCCTTTTTCAAAAGGTTCTATGTAGTACCATCTATAACACATTCCTCATCAATCTGAAAAACCATTTCACCATGCAAAGAATGCAAGGAACTCTTTAATCATGCAAAGGGTTCTTTGAGTGTTCATGGTTCTATACAGAAGCATTTTCTTTACTAAAGAACCCTTGAAGAACCCTCTTTTTAAAGTGTGTAGGACAAATACCTGCAGTGTTGTATGCAGCTGTCTGTGGCCTCTGCAACTGGCTGTTGGGAAACCGCCGCATTCCATGCAGTAACACACACACTGCATCTCAAACAAGCATTTCTAGAACCTCATTAAGATCAAGATAAAGATTCCAGCGAATCGACTGATAAGATGTTTCGCTGTGCTCTGCAAGTTCTGACCATCTCAGATGTTGCAACTCTGCGTTATTTCTGCTCAGTGAATTTCACAGCTCTGACTTTTCCACCCAGAGTGTTAATAAAGCCCTGCAGTTTCACAGGAGTTTAAACAAATAACTCCTGAAAGGCGCTGATTACACTGAGGCTGTGATGGAGGCAGCCTTGTGTACTGATTGTGCCTAAAGGCAGTAAATAATATGCAGCATGTGATCAGTATGAATTTCTCCACAACTCTAAAGATACCCAGGTTACGTTCTAATCCGGTCAAATATTCCTGTATGCAAGCAGAGATAAATGAAATTAAAGGGAATAATTTGACCTGCTGATTTCTCTCATGGTGGAGGGATACATGCAGGGCGCTGTGAAGCAAAATAGTCCCCAAAGAAAACTGATTATTTCAGATTTTCCACTATTTTCCATCATCAACATTCCATAAAAACTCAGAAGACTCGTGTAGGTTCACTGGTGGTTCTGGATAGTAAATAAAGTGTCTATATCTGTGTTGTAGTCATGGCGACCCCTGGTTCCTATCACCACCACTGTACAGACATCTGAACCATTTCACACCAAACCACTCTGAATCACTTTCAACCACTAAATTATGTTGTAATTTTGAAAAAATGGGTGGAATTCCCCTTTAATTCAGTGCATGGTTTTGTACTAGAACCCATCAGATCTCAGTTCCACTGCAGCAGCAGAAGCAGACAGGACTCACCTTGCAGTGTAGGGTTGCTGTTGCGGTTGGTGGGTTTGGGAGGCGGCACAGGGGGCTGCTTAGAGGTTGCAGGGGGAGCCGGGGCAGTAGAGGCAGCGGGGACAGCAGGAGCAGCAGGGGCAACAGGGGTGGGAGGGGTAACAATGGCAGCGGGGGCAGGAGGGGTAACAGTGGCAGCGGGGCCAGGATGGGGAGCACTGGCAGCGGGGGCAGGAGGGTTAGCAGTAGCAGCAGGGGCAGAAGGGGCAGCATGAGCAGGGACGGCAGGAGGGGCGTCCTGTCCTCCTGCCATGACTGCAGGTACGGGACTTCGACGAGACGAGTCCTCTACCATCAGAGAGACGGTGCGGGGAGGGGGCTTAGCGATGGGGGGGGCGGAGGACGAAGAGGACGTAGACGATGCTGATGATGCTGACGAACAGGATGAGGAGGGTGAGGCATGGCCAGACTCTGTGGAAGGGGGGGACATCAGCCATTTAGGGGGGAGGATGGCCTGTTTAGGGAGGGGCAGCGGCTCCTTGTGGGGGGCACGTCCCGTGTCAGGCTCAGGGATGGGGGCAAAGCGCACACCAACGGACCCTAACAGAGGGTCACAAACATGCAGACAGAAAAACATAAACATACACAAACTCAGACTCAGACAGTCACAAAGGGGAACACAGCACATTAAAGGGCCCATATCCTGAAAAAAAACACGTAATATGCAAATACTGTTAAACTGTATTTCACTGAGGCTGGACGTCTCGTGCACAAACCCAGACAAACACGGAGCGGACAAAAAGTGACACACATGAAAAATGTAGGATATGGGCTCTTTAAGGTAGTGACCATATGCGTACGGGTCAGCTGAAGCACGTATGGCTTTGGTCTGAGAGGAAAACAGAGCTGAGCTAAGCGTTTCCTCGTGGTTATGATGTAAGCAGCTTTACAGAGCTTAACTATAAACGTGTGCCATAGAACTGTATGCGTTCTTTTCATAACAACAAAACTGATTTAAAGGAATAATCCAGCGTCAATTAACGGCAGACAACAATCTTAATGTGTTCGCCTCTTTATATAATACACTGAATATACTATACTGTATAATACACTGTATATAATATACTGTATATAATATACTGTATATGCAAATCTTGGTGTCATTTTAGATTCGCATTATTGTTTTATCCCTCATTTAAATAATGTTACTAAGGCTGCATTCTATCATCTGAGGAATATCACTAAGCCTTTTCTCCCTTTTTACTGGACTTCCTAAGAAAACATTACGTTCTCTACAACTTGTACAAGATGCAGCAGCACAAATCCTAACAAAAACAAAAAAGAGAGCTTATATCACTCCATTTACACACTGTACTGACTGCCTGTCTTCTAGGACATATTTTAAAATTCTTTTATTGGTTTTTAAAGCCATAAATGGCCTTAAAGCTCCTGTGCTCCTCACTGAATGCGTCACTGTATGTGATCTTAGATCTGCAGATTCTGGTCTTCCGCTAAAATGAGACTCATCACCTCATTACAGTTAGACAGTCAAGTTCAGTTCACATTTTTAAGAAATTTTTAAAGTTGAACATTTCGAACATATCGTTTGATCATCTTAGTTTTCTCCATAGTTCCTTTTCTGCTTTCATGTTCAGTTTGCATCTGAAAATGTAGCTTTTTAACCTACCTAATTAAAATATTATCATTTACTTTGTCATTTTAACTCATTTTATGATCATATTAGTTTTATTCTTTTCATTCCTTTTTCTGCTTTTGTTGACTTTTTGCTTTTATTAATTAATTTTGCTTTTCAGCTGTAAAGCTGCCTTTTGTACGAAAAGTGCTATAAATAATAAAAAGGTATTTATTTATTAATTTTTTTATCATTTATATCTGTACTGAAACCCTCAGGCTTGAAGCTCACAGCTGACGCCCCACTGTAACAGCAGAGGTGTCAGGATGAAACAGACTGAGAGGATCAGCTCTGTTCTCACACTGGACACTGTGTAATTTTGCTGTGTCACGCATGATAAATTAATCTTTCTGATGTTTGTCATAAACTTTTAGTTGCCGGGACACAGTCAGTCAGTCTGTTATCTGGGTTGTTGCCATGCCAACGGCAGAGGCAATAGTGACCGGCAGACTTCGTGTTGGCTGTGAAAGTCTGTGAAAAGTGAGAGTAAAACATGTTGGGATTGGGATTCTGCTCACTGGCTTCTATATTATAAGTGTGTTTTGAATCATGGAAACATTAAATTGGCAGGGCTCACAGAAGTTTGGGCCAAGAGGACGTTTGGTTTGACGGGGGGGGGTTTAGTAATGAAATACAGTATACTATTATAAAATATAGGGGTGGCTCGATACCACTTTTTCATGTCCAATACCGATACTGATACCAAAATCTTGCACGTCTCCCGATACCGATAATAATCCGATACCATCTTTTTTCCTCTGTTAAACAACCAAGCTGTTAAATCACATTTATCTGGACACACTTTGCTTAACTGAGGCATCTAAATAACATCATGCTCAATATTCTGCTCGCCTAAAGGAAGAAATGCACAGTCTGACTCAGCAACGTGACTCTGATATGCAACACTGCTGTTTTTCTTTATGTTTAACACACAGAACTGTTAGCAGTGTTTTTGAGTCCTCAGCACCACTAAAACACTCAAAATGAAATTGAACATGCGAAAGTTTAGTTAAGCATTTACGTGAGTTTAAGCTAACAGATCATATCAGACTATTCTTTTTTCCTCTCGATATCCGATCAAGTGATTTTGGCCAGTATCGGTATCGACGCATCCTTATTATAAAATATAGGCTCGTATACTGTTTAGTCTTTTTGGTAACACTTTACTGCAGGGTTCTGTTCATAAGGCTACATGACAAACAAGCTGACATAACCTACATACATGTTTATAAACGCTTATTCCAACAGGCGTCATTCTTTATAAAGGTTACATTTGCCAGTTTTAATCAAAGTTAGCTAAAACAGCCTTTATGACAGATAATGCCTGTTGGAATAGGCATTTCTAAACATTTATGTAGGGTTATGTCAGCTGTCATGTTTATGTCATGTCAGTTTTTTAATGTTTTTAATGTTACAGACTTTTACAAGATGCTGGAGTATTCCTTTAAATCAACAGCTTTACATCAGCCCAGATGTGTTTGGTGTACAAATTTTGCTTTTTGAGTTTTAAACTGGAACTACAACACTACCAGCACTAGACATCAACAACATTTTGGTACACAGTGAGGTTTTGCTGAAGTCTCGCAGCTCCAGCGCTAAACTAAAGAAAAAATTTGGACACCAATCATGTCTTGTCTGATCGATAAGTGTGGAAAACTGTATAAATGTGATTCATCACCAAACCATCCCTTTAGTGTCTCTGCTTGTAGACGATCTTCCACTAAATCACATCAACGCTGGCTGAAATAAACAGATATGCTGTGAGTCTGTTACCTGCACGAGCTCTGGGGTCGTCCTCGGCGGGCGTGGGTCGCGGGAGCGTGCTCCTACGGTCAGCCTCGGACATCGGCCGGACCTTCTGTCCCGCTTCGGAGGAGCTCTTCTGCAGGGTGCTCTTCATGTCCATCTCTGAGTGCGGCCTGACCGCCTTGCTGTCCGAAACCTGCTTTGCCAGGTCCGGCCTCCTGCCCTCCTTCCTGTCTCGCTCTTCCTTCCTCTCTCGTTCCTCTCTCCTCAGCCGTTCCTCTCTCCTCTCTCGCTCTTCCCATCTCTCCTTCTCCTCTCTCCTCTCTCGCTCTTCTCTTCTTTCTCTGTCGTCCCTCCACTCGCTCTCGGGCCTCCTCTCTCGCTCGTCTCGTCTGTCCTTTTTTTCTCTGTCCTCTCTCCTCTCCCGCTCTTCTCTCCTTTCTCTGTCATCCCGTCTGTCTCGGTCATCTCTCCTGTCATCCCTGTCCCCTCTTCCTTCTCTCTTCTCCCACTCTTCTTTGTCTCTCCTTTCCCTGTCCTCTCTGTCCATCCTTTCGTCTCTCCGGTCTCTCTTATCCCTCTCCGCTCTTACGTCCCGCTCTTCCCGTTTGTCCCGTCTCTCTCTGTCCTCTCTGTCATCCCTCCTTCCTCTGTCCTCCCTCTCGTCCCTCCGTTCTCTGTTTTCGTCTCTCCGATCGCGGTATCTGCCCTCGTCCTGTCCGTGTCTGTCTCTTGGTAAAGACGACGTCCGTTTCTCTCCGTCTGACTCGAGGCGGTTGCGGCGGTCAGAGTCCGAGGGTATGCGCATACGGGCGTCCACGTCCAGAGGCTGCCGGTTACGGGTCACGTCGGACGGCACCCGACTGCGCCTATCGGACTCCGGTGCCAGGGTACTCTTCCGGTCCTCGCCCTGCGGCCGTCGGGTCGGGCCCCTGACCTCCGACCCCGTGTCTGCCCCTCGGTCCCCGGAGATGGGCGCAGTGTGGCCGTTCTTCACTGAAGGAGCTTTCACATCATTACTCTCTGCAAAAACAATTACTGGGTATTAGTGGAACACTATAATAATACCTACAGAGACACTAATAAAGTCAGGTTTCGTGTGTAGGTAGATCCCTATTAGAGATGGTACAATATCGAGTACAATATCGAGTACAATATCGAGTATCAGCTGACAGCTTTAAAACTGTTAACTTTTAAAGTGAAATATTTTTAACTGAAATCCATGCTTAACCTAAACTACCCCATACATAATTAAAAACATGAGTTATATAAAACGACAACTTTTTTAATTCAGTTACACAAAACAGAAATATCACTTGTATTGCAAATGTGTGTATAATTATTTTTAGGAATGGGCACTTTTATTAGTATTGAACCACGAGTCAAGGACTTTGCAGTATGACAGTGGAGTTTGACTGGGCCGCGAGTCGGAGACTTTGGAATGTGAGGGTGGAGTTTGACTGGGCCACGAGTCGGAGACTTTGGAATGTGAGGGTGGAGTTTGACTGGGCCGCGAGTCGGAGACTTTGGAATGTGAGGGTGGAGTTTGACTGGGCCGCGAGTCGGAGACTTTGTAACGTGAGGGTGGAGTTTGACTGGGCCGCGAATCTGAGACTTTGTAACGTGAGGGTGGAGTTTGACTGGGCCGCGAGTCGGAGACTTTGGAACGTGAGGGTGGAGTTTGACTGGGCCGCGAATCGGAGACTTTGGAACGTGACAGTGGAGTTTGACTGGGCCGCGAATCGGAGACTTTGGACTGTGACAGTGGAGTTTGACTGGGCCACGGGGGACTTTGGAATGTGAGAGTGGAGTTTGACTGGGCTGCGAGTCAGAGACTTTGGACTGTGACAGTGGAGTTTGACTGGGCCGCAAATCGGAGACTTTGGACCGTGACAGTGGAGTTTGACTGGGTTGTAAACTGTGAAGTGTCTGAGTTATTATTATTATTATTACTACTATTATTACAGGATGTCCCAAAAAAATTGACATCATTTGAGATGTGAATATCTGAGTAACTACATGCAAACGAAATTAAATAGGCTTCATGTTGAACAACACAAGATTTATATATCAAAATTCAAACAAGAAATTCAGAGGGATGTAGATTTTATAACCGATTTCACAAAGCTTTACAAATCTACTATCTTCTGATACTGGTGGTCGTCCAGATCCCTTTGCGCTGCACAGACAGCCTTCCTCTCTGAATTTTTTGTGCCATGTCCAGATCTGCTTTCCAGTTGGTGCATTTTTATTGAATTTTCTCGAAAATGCTGCTGCACACTCTCGTTTGACTGTGTTTGAGCATATTTTAACACACAAAATGCCTTTTCATTTCTAGTGAACGCCGTTCTTCAACCTGGAAAACAAAACACTAAAAATAAACTTGGTTAGTTTTTACACATTTTGTTAAAATTTGAGATCATTTGAGGGAGAACTGGCTACATTATTAGACTACAAAATGATGTCAATTTTTTTGGGACACCCAATATTATTATTATTATTATTATTATTATTATTATTATTATGAATAATACCACTCCAGAAAAAAAATAAACAGCTAACATGACACACACAAACCGAGCGCTATTTCAGGACAGATTTCTGAAGGACTGGATCACATTTTTTCTTGTTTTTCTCTCTCTGGTATTTTCTGCTGATATCAGTGTGGATACGGTGCGGGAGCAGAGCTCGCTCTGTTACCAGGTTTGATCCTGTAAGAAAACAGTTCTGAACATCTGAAATGTCTCTGCTGAGTTTGCTTGGCTCTTGCCTCGCAGGGCCAGACGCGATCTTGTAACAAGAATACACGTCTGGGGACAATCTTTTGGTGCTGGATATGCACAGCTAACAAGGTTACGACCCCTCTAAGCCCCACCCCCAATGACCTAACCGTTTTTCACTCATAAGGGATAATGTGTTTTTTCCTGCATGTAATGTGTTCTCCACAAGCGACTCAAATCTGCTCTTCTGGGAATATTTACAGCCGCGCTGACTTCGATACATCCATGTGCTGATGGTGGGCTTGTAGTCCATCGGACAATTTGGATGAGCGCACCAGCACCCCCTACTGTGAACTCCATCTTCTCTGAGTTTGTTCCCACCCACATACAACCCAAAATTTCGCATTTCTCAACTTCTCGCTGTCCCCAGACGTTCTTCTGGAAAAGCTACATCTGGTTCCGCGAGACTAGCTTGTACCGTTGTCTGAGATCTCCTTCAGTACTCCTTTATCTATCAGCTCCTGTCTGGGCTTCCGCATCGAGATTTTCCTCTCCAGCACTGACGACAGACAGAGAGGAGAGTCGGTTAGAAACAGGACACGTCACAGTCAACAGATCTTCTAAACAGAGCTTACAGCAGGTTACAGAGCTCCGGGGTTGTGAGTCTGGGGGGTTATTTGGTTAGAAGGTGGTACGAGAGGTGGAGACCATCTGGGCTTTGTTCACATTATCAGGCTGAAGTGGCACAAGTCAGATGTTTAGCCTCGATGTGGCACAGATCTGTGAGACCACATCTAAATTAGTTTTATATGTGGTCCTAGATCGTTCGTCGAACATGGTTACGTTATTGATCACGACGTGTGCACGCTGGTCGTTTCAGCTTTGTTCACAGTGAGGACAGATTTGAGTCACTTATACAGAAGTCTGAAAATCTAATTTGGGCAAAAAACTCTCAACTGAGCAATGAGGCCTGTAATGTGAACACAGCCTGATTTAACCGAACCAAAACCAAATGTGCAGAACAGAATTAGAAGAATTAAAACAATGTTATCTCAGAATGGAACAAGCAGATGATCAGTGCTCATTAAGTCCTGATGATAGACAGCATGCTCAGAAATGATCACAGCGTCATAGAAGAAATAGATCACTTCAATTCCTACAGCAAAAGCTCTGAAGAACATGGAGTTTTAGTTTTGAACTTAAGTGCAAATTGTAAACAGACTGATAGAGCGACAGGTACCTTCTGACGTCTCCTTGAACTTCTCGCTGGTGCCTTTCTTCTTCTTCCATTTCCAGGGTTTGAAGATCTTGCCCAGGTTGAACTTGCCCTTACGTTTGGATGGAGGTGTACCTCCTCCCGAGTTGGCCCCGTCGCTGCCCACCGTGCTTTGCTGCTGGTCATCGACTTCATCGTCTAGAGGGAAGAAGAGCGAGAGACAGCTTTACATTTTTACTTTATTTCGTTCCTGGAATCCACTTATATCATTTATGTGGCTTTAGGGACCAAAAACAGTCATTACACCTTTCTCCATGACTACTTCCCAGCCCCCCGTGACCTTCAGACCGTAACCTGTTTTAGCCTTTAAGTTCTTAATTTTTCAGGAGATGTTTGTGAGGAGATATAAGATAATCCACCTGCATAATGAAGGAGAAAGACCAAAGTGAAAGTTTCCAAAACTGGAGATCACAAACTGATTAAAAGCTACAGAGAAAATGGGGCTCCTAACAACCACCTGGAAGACCTGGTCGACCCCAAAACTGCCACCATCAGATAAACAGCACTTAAAGCTTTCTGTTAAACGTGTCTATTTTTAATCAATGCTTAAAAAAGAATTGACGGCCATTTCGACTGAAAGCTAAACCTACATTAAATTAAATCGAGAGTAGTTTTGATTTCTGCATCGTGCTGCACAATCAGAGCTCTGTAGAATCAAGACTTTTTCACCACCACTCAAATCTGGATCTCTGAATCAAACGTTATCAAACCTGTAAATATGCACATGGAGAACACTGGGCCTCGTTCTCCAACCGTTCTAGAGAAGAAATCTCTTCTTAAACCCACTTCCGCAGTTTTGATGAAGACTCTGACTCACCAGTGTCTCTGATGTGGGGTTTGTTCTTAGGCAAGAACAGAATCTACACACAGTCAAGAGCACAGAGCTGAGAACAGTTCTGCGCTTTAAGAACTCATCATGAATCTGACGCAGACTTTTTCTTAGGACCTTTATCAAGAACATTCCTAAGAACAAACTTAGGAAGATGTTGGAGAACGAGGTTTAATGTTCCAGAGGGGTTCAAACTCTGAAACCTGAGGGTTATTTTGATGCTGATCAGACATTCAGTCAGTCCATCACTGATCACCACAATCACATCTAAGCAACAGGGGTGTAAGAAAATATCGATACGCTTAAGTATCACGATATTGTTTTATGAAACTGTATCGATTCTCAATTAATAGTTTACATACGAAGATTTGTGGCAGTAACTCGTGTTTTTAATGTTAATTCAGTCTCACTTTAAGTCTGCTGTACAGTCTATTGTACTGTCCAGCTCAGTATCACTACTGACCCCTGATACGGTGGTTCAGTTTATTTCTGTTCCACCTTAAATGGTGCAATAATTACATTCTGGTACCTAATGTGTCACAACAATACCTGCTGCAGCATTTAAGGTGGAACGGGAAAATTTGAACAAGAACACAGTGAACAGAAAACCGACTTTAGCTTCATTTTAAAAAGACAGTTCTTCAGGGGTTCTTTGGTAAAGAAAATGGTTCTATATTGAACCGTGAACACTCAAAGAACCCTCTGCATTATGAAAGCGTTCTTCACCTTGACAGTGAATGTGCTGTAGATGGTTCTATACAACATGCAGATGGGTTCTCCTACTGTTACGATGACAAGCTTGAAACAATAGCAGAACTCTTTTGGGTGCTATACAGAACCTTTTCACAAAAGTCACTATATATATACATACACACTAAAGAACCTCTGAAGAACCATCTTTTTAAGAGTGTACAGTTTATGTAGAGAGCGACTGATAAAAATGTGCTACGGAACGACGTTTCGACAAGACAGCACGGTCTGTGAGAACAAGACTTCCACAATATGGTGAACACAGTGGAACCTCGGTACTCCAAACCCTCCCGACAGCACGTCACTGACATCACTGTGTTTAAGTTGTACAAGGAGGTAAAATAAACTTTTATAAAAAAAAAATAAATTATTGATATAGAAAAACGTTCACTGCAGACCCTGAATGCAGATCCCATCGTGCTCTGACTGCATGAAAAGTAAACTTGTTCTCTCACTCAGATTTTATCCACAGTGGTGTTTTTATACTGTGACAATTTTCCTGAAATTAGACTTAAAAAATCACAATATATTGACTTTCTTACAGTATCGCAATATACTGAATCATAGCCGCTGTATCGTGATGTGTATCGTATCACCAGGTTCTCACGGATTCACAGCCCTAATAAGGAACAGCACAGACTCCAAGCGGAGAACGAAACCAGTGCAAATCACCACCCACACATCCCTGAGGATCAGGACGCAGCCGAGACGAGCTGCGCTGCTGCTACATTCCTCTCTCTGGGTAAAAATACCATCTGTACGTCTCAGAAGCAGCAGCTGTTCCACCCAGGCGTAACAACTGCAGCCCACCGAACAAGAGGAGGAAATATGAGTGGGATTCAGGGCTGTCACGATACCCGATGACCGAGTTTCAACACTGATACCAAGTGCAGCCTGACGATACTCGATGGCAAACGACACTATAGCAAAGAATTACAAACAATAATTGTTCAAACACAGAACGTTTACTGACTGAACAGAGAAATATATCATTTTTCCTCTTATAGAACAGAACCTTTATGTTCTGTGGAGGTTCTTTAAACTGAAAGGACTGGGGAACCAAAAGTTGTTCTATGGCATGGCCCCAAAAGAGCACTCGTTTATTTAAAGGTGCGATATTGAATAAGTACTGAAACGTTTGGCAGCTAATATATAATATATACTACATAATATATAATATAAACCACGACTTATTATTTAGCAAACAAGTCACAAATATAAACAAAATGATTGTTCTAAAATATAAAAATAAAAATTGATCAGATCAATTCAATGCATTAAAGGCTTTTCCTTATTTAGGCTAATTTTTAAAAAAATGCTATTTTTCATATTTTAGAACAACAATAGAGCAAAAATTTCTAAACAAACCTATTTCAGATTCTTCTTGCCATCTTAATTTATTTATTTATTCATTCATTCATTCATTTATTTATTTATTTTTGTGGAAAAATCCATACATTAGTATGCATAAGAAAATTCATTTGCATTGAAGTCTTTCAGGTGAAAGGTGTCTTAAACGTTATTAAAGCGCTTATTCAGCTGGCTGTGTCCAAACTTCTGACTGCAGTAGTGGTAGTTTGTGCGTCACCAACAGTGAGAACAGGGCAGTTTAACGATGAGCTACTAATAAATCAAATGATTTCTCGTTAAACTGAAACAGAGACAGTGACAAACAGTCCATCCTCTAGAACCCGTACAGAACGCAGCAGCATGGATCCTCACAGCACCAACACAGAGAGCTCATACCCCCCCGTTACACACTGCACTGACCGCCTGGATCTGTTAGAGAGAGGTTAAAGCTCTGCTGCTGGTTTTTAAAGCTCTAAATGGCCTTAAAGCTCCTGACCGTCTGTTTATGATCTCAGATCTGCAGATTCTGACCTTCTGAACTCCTTCAGTAAAACAGAAAACGTGGAGAGACTCTTTCAGTTATTCTGCTTCTAAACTGTGGAGCTCAGTTCAGCTTTTTTAGACAGTCGAGCTCAGAGCTCACTTATTATTATTATTATCAATATTAATATTAGTGTTATTATTATTATCAGTGTGCGAGGCAGGCGTGTACGCTGAGAGCAGCTGTGTGTGTGTAGGGAGCCTCTCCCGTGGTGCTGGCGCGGTAAACACCCCGTACAGTTTTAGGCGATGACTCTAACGCTGCTTTTGCTCAACTACCCAGCTGCCAAACCCTGCGGTCATCAACGCCGACGACACTATCCAGCGCTCAGAGCTGCCGTCTGAACCGGTTACAGAGCTCTGAGCCTCAGTAACAGCTCAGCTCTGTAAACCTGACGTGGAAAAGCAAACCATCCAGTTTCACAACCAGCGCCAGGAGACAAGACACAGCTGATACTGTCTGTATGATCAGAGCGTCTGCACCGTATACTGAACACTTTATCACATTATATCCCACTTTATATATAACTAAGATCAAATCTGCAGTGACCATGTACACACAGCGCCGCACAAAAGGTTTAGGTGGTGCTGATCCACAAGATGCATAACACAATATTTACTGTTTCACACATCTGATCAGAGAAAATAGTGTACCAGTGCCACATTTAAAAAACTACTATCAAAAACTAACGCTTCACTTCATCTCGCTCCAAAAGAATAACTATTGTAATTAAAAAGAAAAGATAACAGTTTGCTGCTGGTTTTTGGCATCATAAATACAAAACTGTGTTTCAGAAGAATAAAATCAAATGGAAGTGCATATATGAGGACACAATATAAACGTTAGACCTTGATTTTACTTTAAAAAGAGTTGAGAAACTGACTTGACTGTACTTTTTGCTAAAGAAAAATTCAAGATAACTTTAGTTTAAGTACTACAAAAATTTTAAATACCAGGATCAAAACGTAACATTTCTAAAATCAAACTCTTTATTGTCATTTCTTCTCATCACAGATGTGTTGAGAGAAGAACAAAATGTAGTTTGTCCAAAACACAGTGATGAATTTAACACAGAACAGCAGCAGACAGACGATAAATACAGACAGACTATACACAATAAGCTCTTCTGTGCAATACACAATAAATATATACCCATTAAGTAGAGGACACTGGAGAAAATGAGTAATATTTGCTAGAAATTTGCTGTTTAGTTATATTTCTTTGCTGAAAACTTAAATTATTTGAGTAAAATATCAGCCAACTTGCTTAAATTGTAGAAACATTGTAGAAAGTAAAGTATAATATTATAATCATAACAGAATTGATAATTAATTGTGGACATAATTATCAAACGATCTGCACTCATGCAGTCAGACTGTCTGAGGCTCAGACTGATAATAACAACAACATCATCATCATCATCATCATCATCATGCGTATTCATAGCCAAGGCCTAAACAGACAGGACTCAGTGGTTCTGGTATGAATCACTGTGTATTAATGAGTCAGTGTGCATTAAAGGGTAAAGGGTTATAATATCACAGGCGCTCATTTCTAAATAAAAACACAGTACAGCTGTCTCTGCGGTCACACTCCGCTATTTCAGCCATCAGTCTCACTGCTCCTTCACCAAAAGTCTCCCTCTATCAGCCAGCACTGCTCAGGTAG